GCCACCGTGCCTGCTGCCCCTTGAGGTGTGGCACACGATGGGCATTGTCGGAATCGACGGTCAGACTGTCGGTCATACATGATAAGTTATCGAACTTATTCATACAGCTAAAATTATTGGAACACTCTGCACCTCATTAGAAACACTGAAACTGTGCTCAAACAAAGTCCAGAATGTCACAGTGTGTGTCCTCAAATCCATTTCGCACTCTCACATGGCTAACCTCTTCCGTCAGAAAGTCCTCCAAAAGTATATTCTTCAGGTTTCGTCGGATTCAATGCAGGCTATAACTGAAGTCCGAATGGGAATTTGACATGTGGTGAAGTGCCTGTTTGCCAGCGTGAACGGCTCGGCAGGTAGACGTTTCTATCCACTGACAGGCTTGTTCATTAAAGTACCACATTTGGTGTCTACCTGTAAAGGCGATATAAACTTGTGCAAAAGATAACATCAGTATTTGCGGACAGTCCGAATCAGGTGTAGTCGACTGGACGAAAGTTCTGATCGTCGGGATTGGGCGTTTGCGTGAACGGCAAACCGCTTGCTGTCGGACTGTGTTGTGTTTGTCAATATAACAAACGGCCAAATGTATGCTGATGTTCACCGCTGAAAATTCACCATGTCTATTTCATGCCATAACAGGGTTATAAAAGCTTCCCACCTCCCCTCTCCCTCCCTCTCTTCCTCCCCCTCCCCCCTCCCTCGCCCATTGTCGCCGAGGCAGTACTAATGATCACCGATGTCCTTCGTTCCATAAAACAACTGTCTTGCCCTTCAAACAAATGAGTTTTTGTCATTCTTTTAAGTAAGTTGCCACTTTTGCAAACCAAAGCCTGGTGCGACCAACATGAAGTAAGTAAAATAAAGGCCTGTAGATAGCTAAACCTGTCACTAATGCGCCTATACACAACTTGGATTTTATTTTTCTCTGGGAAATACCCGTGAGCGTGAACTGTGATATGACTGTCGGGTCAAGATCTATAGAACACAGAATCCTACTGCGTCCCATAGTCGTCATTCAAATTCCTAAATCTTGGAGTGCTGAGACAACCGCTCTCATGACCGGTGTACAGTCACTTACAGACATGCCGTCACCTGTTTTGTCAGTTTCATGCAATACACACTGCAATTCTTTCCGGTCAACAGAGGTTGTGTTTCGGTCAGGCGTCTGGATAACCACGCAGATCAGTTTGAATCCAACTGCCTTCGTTTTTTTTGTTTAGGGTGAAAACTGTCATCAGAATTGTCTTGCAGAAACAGAAACATTAGAGATGTGCTTCCAAAATTTTCCCAACTCAACTATTGGCTGCTAGACTAGGGGCATATTTTAGGAAATGCATTTAAATATAGAGCAGTGCTTATCATGAGTCTAAATTAGCACCAATAGCCGAAGTTAAATGATGCTAAGAGTGAGGCAAGAAAGTAATTTATTAGGTGATACTACCTGGATACCTAATACAAGGGAAGATAATAAAGCCGTATTTTGCTACTTTGATCAGACAGAAGGGGTATATCGTCGTAAAGGTTTGAAATTATCGGAGTTTCCTCTCCTGCCACAAAGATTAATTGCGAAATGAGAGGGACATTACTATGTATTCAACCCTGAAAAAGTATTTTAATGTATTGAATCAAGCATGCAACGTAAACAAGCTTTTCATACTTTAAATAGATATTTATGGAGACACCATATTTTCATCAGAGTTGTCTAACAACAACATTTACATCAGACATGTGTCCCAGAATCATTGAGGCACAAAAATATATGCACTCTTCCATTGTCACCACGGCAGTACTAATGAGTACCGATGTTCTTCGTTACACAAAACAACCAACTTGCCCTCCCAATTGTATAGATAGACGAGTATTTGTCAGGCTTTTAAGTAAGTTGCCATTTTTCGAACAAAAGTCTTGTGCGACCAACATGAAGTAAATAAAATAATGGCCTTCAGATGGATAAACCTGTCACTAATGCGCCAATAGACAACTTGGTTTATTATTATCTGGGAAATTATTGTGAGCGTGAACTGTGATATGTCAGCCGAGTCACTATCTAAAGCACACAGAATCCGACCGCGTCGTACAGTCTGCATTCCCAGACATGCCGTCACCTGTCTTGCCAATTTCATGGAATACGCTCTGCAGTCCTTTGCGGTCAAAGGGGGCTGTGTTGTGGTCAGGCGTCTGGATGTCCACACAGTTCAGTTTGAATCCAGCTGTCTTAGCTTGTTACTTAGGGTAAAAGGTTCCATCATATTTGTCTAACAACAACAGTGATATTAAACTTGTGCTTTTAAAATTTTCCCACACATTTGCTGGCTGCTAGACTAGGGGCATATTTCAGGGCATGGGCTGAAACACAGGACAGTGTTTATCGTGAGTTTAAGTTGGCACAAGCAGCTGAAATCAAACTATGTTGGGAGTGAGACAGGAAAATAATTTACTAAGCGATTTTCTCAGGCCAAGAATCAATGGAAGAACCAAGAAGAGTCGTATTTCGTTACTTTGATCAGCCAAAGGAGGGATACAGCCATAAAAGCTTGGATTTATTGTCCAATTGGTGACAATGTAGTAAAAGTGGAGTTTCCGCGATTATGTGTACCGTTCTAAACTCTCTTCCTGAAAAGGATCCTTTCAATGCATTAAAAAGCACGGTGCGTGAACACGATTCCACCGTTTATATATTCAGAATACTGGGTTTCCTCTTCCAAAGGCCCGTATTACACGAGGCCTTGCAACATAGCCCGGGGGACCCTGCACACCTATACGTGTCTGACCTCTCACAATGAAGTTCCGTCTGCAGGCCCGCAGGAGGCCACAAGTTGCCTTTGCCTGATCACTGTTTACATTTCAGCAATATACCGACATAGCAACCGGAAGACCTGCCAGCAGCAGATGAATACACCTCCGTGGAGACTCGATGGTGCCAACTGCGGCACACTGTTCACTCGACCGCTCTGGGTGTCCTTGGCCGCGCACGTGGCCAGCATCCGGACTGGTTTGACGAAAATGACGTCGCCATCAGTAACCTGCTGGTCGAGAAGAACAGGCTGTACAGATTCCCCATCAATCGCCCAACCGATGAGAAAAAAGGGGCCTTCTACAAATGTTGCCGCCTAGCGCAGCAACGGTTGCGAGAAATGCAGGACCTCCGGGGTGGTTCGCGGGTCCAAAGTGGCCCAAGGATGCGTCGACGTCATAGCATCAAAGAATTTCTTCACTGCGATCAAGACGATCTACTGCCTTCCGATCAAAGAAACTGCACCACTTCTCAGCTCCGATGGATCAGCGCTCTTATCGGAGAAGTCGCAGATTCTAATGCGCTGGTCCGAGCACTTCAGAAACGTCCTAAACCGTCCCTCCACGATCTCCGACGCCGCCATCAGTCGGTTCCCAGAGTGGAAATCAACGTTAATCTGCACCGCCCGCCCTCCTTTCCAGAAATAATTCGCACCGTGCAACGGCTTTCCAGCGTGAAAGCACCAGGCTACGACGCAATCCCAACTGGGATCTACGAGCACGGCGTCCATCGACTGATGGACCGACTCACGACAGCATTTAAGACAATGTGGCGTTGTAGATGAGTTTTTCAGGACTTTAAGGACGCAACCATTGTTCAGCTCTACAAGCGCAAAGGCAACCAGTAAGTCTGCGACAGTCACAGCCGCATCTCACTACTCAACATTGAAGGGAAGATCTTCGTCCGATCCTCCTGAATCGTCTCTATGGCCACCTGGAGCAAGGACTCCTACCAGAAAGCCAATGTGGCTTTCAACAACACGGGGCACAACAAACATTGTGCTTGCAGCTCGCCAGCTACAGAATGAGTGCCAGGCGATGTCAATTCACTTCCACAATTTCTTCTTAGACTTTACGAAGGACTTCGACACGGTGAATCGCGAAGGACTGTGAAAAATTATGCAAGAATTCGGCTGTCCTGAACGATTCACGCGCAGGGTACGTCATCTTCACGGCGAAATGACGGCGCGCGTGCCACGGACAACAGCGTGCTCTCCTAAGCATTCATAGTAACCAATTCAGTGAAGAAGGCTTGCGTCCTCACGCCTACCCTATTAAATCCCATGTTCTCTGCCATGCTGATATACGCTTATTATGATAAGCGCCCTGGGATATGCATCGCCTACGGAGCTGATGGGCAACTTCTCAACCGTGGGGGTATGTATGCCCGAACACGGCTACCTACGACTACAGTCCACGACCTGCTATTCGCCGACGACTGCAGTTCAGCATCACGATCGAGGCAGCCATTCAACACAGTATGGATCTCTTCGTTGCCGGGTGCGCCAACTTCGGCCTGACTATCAACGCGGACAAAACGGGGGTCAAACACCGATCTTCACCCTACACGCAACGTTGCACTCTTCCTCGAATCACTGTCGACAGCCACCAACCCAAAACTGTGAACAATTTTGTCTTCCAACAGCACCACAATGGACGATGAGGTTGCCCACCGGATTTCCAAAACCAGCCAGCCAGCCTTCGGCCGGCTGCAAGCCTTCACGTGGAATCGTCACGGCCTCCAATCGAATACCAAACTGAAGATGCACAAGGCCGTCGTCCTGACTACACTTCTCTACGGAGCAAAGACTTGAACCGTCTGCTCCGATCATGCCAAGAAACTTAACCACTTTCATCTCGGCTGCCTTCGCAGAAATCAAAAATCACAAATTCCTCGCCTCGTCAGTGACGACCATCCGCCGTTTCCAACATGCTCGCTTCGCCAAAGCGCATTACGCGCACGAATCAGTCTCATTGGACACCCTCGGACCCAATTCGTCATCAACCCGACAACGCCAACCTCGTCTCCCACTCTCGTCCTTGCCGAAAACCCCACTCCGACCACCAATCACACTGCCACTGCCCCGACGCCACCATCCGCCTTGCCTAAACTCCCTGCGGTCGACGTAGGCTTTGTGCAGGCGGTTTTCCTCGGCGATCAGGTTGCTAATGGCGGCGTCGTTGTCGTCGAACCAGTCTTGGTGTTAGCGGCGTGCGCGACCGAGGACAGCCAGCGCCGTCGACTGGACTGTGTCCCGCAGTCGGCACCATCGATTCTCTGCGGAGGCGTTCTCGTCAGCGGCGGCGGCGGCGGCGGCGGCGGCGGCGGCGGCGGCGGCGGCAGCGACTTGAAGGTTGTCTAGCCGTTGAGCTAACTGGATGCTGAAATGAAGATGGTGAGCAGGCAATGGCAACAAGACAATATTCAGCTTACCTGAGGATCGCTTACCTTGTGGTCTGCTGCGAGGCAGTCGGCGAATACGCATCTTCAAGATGACGAGGCGATGGTCGGACCATCCGTCAACATCCGCGATCGCCTTTGTAACCAGCACGTCCCGCTGGTCTCGCTTCCGGACGAGGACATAGTCCAGCAGGTGCCGCGGACGCGATCGAGGATGCACCCAGGGGGCCTTCTTTCGCACCGGTAGACAGAAAAAGGTGTTCGTCACGACGAGTCGGTGTTCTGTGCAGGCGCAGCGAGGGAGCAGACCATTGTCGTTGGAGCCATTGAGATCATGGGGACCTAGCACTCCTCTCCAGGCAGCATGGTCTGTGTCGACGCGGGCTTTGAAGTCACCGAGGACAATCAACTTGTTCGCCTTCGACACAGTCGCCAGGAGGGCGTGTAGGCCCTCGCAGAATTTGTCTTTTGCGGCGTCGGGGCTGGTCATCGTCGGAACTTAGGCGCTGATGGCGGTGTCGAATTTGCCTCCCCAGAGAGGCAGGCGGAGGCTCATCAGACGATCGTTGATGCCCTGCAGCTGACAGGGCAGTCGTCCCACAATGTCGTTCCGGATAGCGAAGGCAACACCCGCGTCCCGTCGCTCTGCCCTGGAACGACAGCTACAGAAGGTGTAACCGACACCTCCAGTCGGCCTTGTTCGGAGAACCGGATCTCGCTGAGTACGGCGATGTCCACCTTGTAGCGCCCCAGTTTTCGAGCCACTAACGCCGTCCTCCGTTCCGATCCGTTGCTCCTCTGATTGTATAAACGGGAACGAGCATTCCAGGCCGCCAGAGTGAGCGGACTCGCCCTGTCGGTCTGGCGATTGGGGTGGCGGAGTCAAGAAGATCGGAGGCGGGGGAGGGCGCAGGTGGATGACACAGTCAACCCCGCGCCTTGGTTTTCCGCTCCACATCCCCTGGTCCACACAACAAATAACCCCGTTTTTGACCAACAACGACAATCGGGGTTGGCGGCAGGGGTCCCAGTTTATGAGACAGCCGCCGGCAACCGGGTCTGTTACTGCACCCCGAATGTTTACATGGTTTTTATTATTGTGTGTAATCCGATATGGCCCCCAGTATTGGTCCAGCACATCTACCACACAGTGCTGACCGAGATTTACGGTCTGTTAGTAACCCCCCAGGTCACGGCTTTTAGTGCATTATGATAGACCTGAGTGCGTCAGATTCATTATAGTGGGGATTGCGCGGATGCACCATAGGTAGGGTTTCCCACTATCGACATCACTCTCACTTCCCTCTCCCACTGCATTAGTCGACTGTCCGAGCCTGTCAACCAGCTGATGATGGGATTGGGCGCAGTGGATGACATAGATGCGATGGTTTATCTGCGCGTGCCTCACGCGGCCTGGCGAGCAATCCTTGCGATAGAGTGCAGTAGGGAACATGCTCCTACTTGCATGAGGGGGTGGGTGGTGTGTGGCGGATCTGTTTTTGGTCTGTGTGTTTCAGCTGAGAGGAGAGTGAGGTGTTTTGGCGGGGTCTGCATTGCGGGGTTTTACTACAAATATTTATGGAGGTGCATAAGGCCAAGTACAGTAGGTGGGTTAGCTCATGAAATGCCGAGCGAAATCTTGCAATTAGTTTTCGTTTCGAAAAGATTAATTAACTGGCGTTGTAAAACTTATTAGCCCGCATCATAATTCTATATTATTCAGTTAACTCAGGATGCCGGCCTTCGAAAGAACTTCCTCACGGATGCATATAAAACTACGCTTGGTAAAAAAAGACTACTTTAGTAGCATGCATTTTTTCTCACTGATTTTCGATGCCCATAAAAGTTCAATCATATTTTATGGAAAACATACACAAAAATATTCATTTTTTCGCTCATTCGGTGGAACATTACGTCTTCTTCTAATAACTCGGTTTTAAAAAAAATTCTAGTTGTGAGACTTTTAAATACCGTGAAATGGCCGTTCATAAAACGTCATGTCTCTGCATTTACCAATGTGGCTTGTAAAGTTAACAATATGGATCAAATCCAATGTTAAATTTTATGAACCCTGTATGGTACCCCTTTAGTACCGTAGAGCAATGTGTGGTTTTCCGTACGCGAAAAAATACATGACTTTTAGTCTGGAAATCCTGGATGCAAGTGCAACGGCAGAGCGGGTTCAAAATTATTCGGAAATTGGAAAAGTTTTTGAAAACCGAATACTACTCTTCCTTAAAGTATAAAATCGGATGAAGACGTAATTGCCTACCGAATGAGCGGGAGAATGAGTATTTTATGTATGTTTTCCATGAAATATAATAGGACTTTTAGGGGCATCGAAAATCAATGAGAAAAATGCATGCTACCAAAGTAATCATTTGTTTAAAGAGTACAGTTTTCGCATGCAGCCGGAAGGAAGTTCTTTCGAAAGCCGGCATCCTGAAGTAACTGAAATCATACAGAATTATGTTGCAGGCTGACAAATTTTACAACGCCACTTAATTCATCTTTTCGAAACTAAAACGTATTTCGATATTTCCGTTAACATTTCATGAGTTATCCCACCCACTGTAGGTCCATTAAATGATTTACTGATCGTGGCTATTATGGGCAGCTGAGGAAGATGATATATGACGTATGTAGGTGCTCCTGACGCTGGTCGACCAGCCTCAGTACGATGTACTTGCGAGTAACTGACCAGGCCAACACGTGAGGTGAAGGTGCGACAGAATGAAATCCAGTTTGCATTACTGGTGCAGGAGGCGGTGGCGATTGCGGTGCTGGTGGTGGTTGTGGGGAAAGTGGCGGCTGCCAAAGTCGTTGGTCGCTGGGGAATTGAGGGTAGACGTGACGACGGCTTCCGAGACGGAAGAAGAGGGTGCCGCCGTCGTAGTGCATTGGGTCCGGAGATGTCCGACGAGGCAGGTCTGTGTACAAAATACCCCGTTGACATCACAGACAAGTAGAAAGACTGATTGCTGGAACTGCTGGTCGGCGAAATTTGGGATTTCCGAGCTGTTCAGTCGGCTTTGGCAGTGGCGATCCGGTTCGTTGCTCTCTCGTAGTTGGAATCCTTTCACTCCTCGTGGGAGCGGAGATCATAAGGCCGAAGACGGTAGGAGCAAGTACATATCCTAGTTTGAATCTACTGGTCACTGTAAATGCTTCCAAGATTGCCGCGTTGCCCCTGCCATGAACCAACATTTTTGTAGACGTCTAAATTTCATCATAACTCTCTGGAGTCCAGCGCGATTCACCGTGTCGCAGGTCATCCTCAGATCAACGTACATAGGTGGTGTAGAGGCTGATCATCATTTCCTGATACTTTTCTTGCATCTTTCGAGCAGCGAAGGTAATTTATGTGGCTCCGTAACTGTAGCAGAATCTCCCTTGACTTTCCGGGAGGATTGTCCTGCTCCGAGCGTACGAGGAGGACACGGACAAAGAATTATCCTGCAATTTTGAGAAGCGAGATGTCTGTGGTTACCACAGAGTTGATGGACTCCCTTGCGTTTGTAGATATCGGAGGTGATAACATCCATGAGGCCTCGGGGACTTGTCTTTGATGTCATATCTTCTGACAGAGTAAGGTAAGCTTTTGCATAAACTGTAGGTCCCCCTACTTGTAGACTTCGGGTGGGACTGCGTCTGATCCCGGTGTTTTCTTATTGGACAATCAATGTTCTGCCCGGATTGTTTCCGTTAGGGAAGGCGATGGGTCCAGGTCGTCATTCGTCTTCACTTAGAGGAGGAGGGCCAACTGATGGAGTCGTCGGAGATGGTGAGTGGCCGCTGTAGGACGCTTGCGAAGTGTGCAGCCCCTATCTTCAGATTGTGTGTGTTTTTTATGTGCGGAGAGTTGTTCCGTTGGAGCTGAGCAGCGAGACGATTCCTTTGTTGTGAAAGTCATAGGTCGCCGTGATTGAGGAGAAGCAATTCCTCCTGTCGGTGCGGTCATACGAATCACTCAAGCATTTTGCATCTCTCTTAAACACAGTTTAACCAAACATGGACATCTGAAGGAGGTCGTTTTTGGCGTCGTTCCGGCGTTTGACATGGTTGTGTGCATCCTATCCTTCTCGGAGAGCATATTGCAGGTTTCTAAGTCGTTGTCGTCAAACCAATCCTGATGTTGACGAAATGCGTGATCCATAACATCCAGGACGGGGGAGAAGAAGCCTTCTCTAACTGGCGTCATTACGTCTACGTGGTGGCGTTATCTTTCGGAGCGGTAAGTCTGTTCGAACAAATGGGACAGATACCCCAGTCGTTGTGCGCTTAATGATAAGCTGCCAGCACATGATCCTATCCTAAATGTGGGGCTGGACCGTAGTGGGCGTGGCTATGGCCTGGTCCGAGGGATTGTTTGTTTTTAGAGGCTGACGTTAATTTCCACACAAATTTACAAGATTTTCATGGATAGCATTACTTAAACACGTACTCGGTATGACAGAAAGACGTTTTCCCGGACGCGTAATGCTGGTCAGTGAAATGCACAACCTTTGCGGTGCCCCGAAATAGTAAAATAGATTCTGACTATCACACTTTATGTCGGGTTTAGGAGCGTCCCTAACTGAAAATGTTGACTTCCAGCTTTTAAAATTCGAAACAGTACTTCAAACATCAGTGCTAAGTTTCTTTGTCCTCCTGTCTCTAAAACCGCTTACCCAGGGTTTTTATTTGCTAGATGAATTTATGTTGCCAATCTGCGAACTCGAATAGCCGATTGAGGAATTTCTATGATTTTAGGCTTTCGCACCCGTAAAGTTACTCTGATAGGCACATGGTTCCGCCCTGAGGACTCGTTCGTTTTTTACTTCAACCACAATTGACTGAGAAAACTGACAGTTTTTTTCCGTACGATTCTTGTGTAGATCACCCTGTGGAACCAATCATACCGGCAAACTACTTTTAAGCATTTGGTTTCAGGTCGCTGGCCCCGCCGTTTGAGCTCGTCCCGCTTGGACAGAATAGTCAATAACATGTCACTTGATGGGAGTCTTTGCTTAAACGACAGCTTCCAGATCCAGTTTTGAGCTGTGTTGTTGCTGATGACGAGAAACGGATCCCAAACTGTAAGGCCGATTTTCGTCATCAATAGATCAGTCGTGGAGATCAGCCCGTCGAGGAGACAGCAAGAAGCCGGCTATCAGATAAGTAAACAGCAACCCCTGATGGCAATATGAGTAACGTGAACCAGTCCTGAAATATTTACAACGACCAGACGGTTTCCATAGAGTGGGTTGGTGAGGGAGTACAAACTCCGGTCAGGCTTTGCAAAACACATTGATTTCTTATGTACGCTCAAATTGGGTGCAATTGAAGACGGATGCCTTGAGGGGGACACGAACAGACCACAACTTTGCTCCGCTGGCTTATTCTAAATGATTCTGTTTAATTTGCATTTCGTATTTGACGTTTTATGCGCATTAAACAATATAAGTTTACAGATTGCAAAAGCATCACACAGTTTATTCGTGGCAACGATGTAAACAAACATCCACCATTTATCGTACCTTAATGCAGCCCTTTGAAGAAACAAAAAGATGGCAAATCTGGTATAAGTGCTTGCTTCAAAACCGTTAGTAGATTGATCGTAGTTTTAGTGGGTAGCCGGAGGCTGTAGTCGAATTCGGCGAAGTGCGGATCATGTTGGGGAAAGGAAACAGCAGTTCTGATACTTAGATGTGGCCACAAACCAGAATCCACATGATCCACAATGATTTCGAGTGGAAAGTTGTGGAAGGTGAAGAGTGTAGTGTCCTCCCTGGCTCTTCCTGAGAACTAAAGATAATGTTTGGTGGTCAGGGTAATTAACTCAAACCTGGCATGTCACACTTAAATTCGCATCCGCGATACGTCCTTTGCAAAGGCGTGCGGGAAATCGACGTCGGTGTTTTGCTTTATGCAGTCCACAAGAGATCCTCTCTGCGAATTCGAGGGCCTGCAGCTGGC